CCCCGAAAGCCCCGAAAGCCCCGAAAGCCTTGAAGCCCTGCGGCAAAACCGGACCCAGGCCTCGGATGCCCTGCTGTTGCTCCCCAAGGTCGCCGAGGTGGAGTTCCAGGAGGCCCGGAAAAATTAGGGTTTAGGGTTTAGGGGGGCTCGAGGAAAGAGGGCAGGGCATCATAGCCAGAGGGGTTCATAGAAGTTTCTAGGATTTTGACAATGGTCGGTGCGCCCAGCAAGTGTGCCCGGGTCAAACTTCGTATCCATCCAGTCCTTTCTAAAGTTGGAGGGTTTCGTAGCTACGCACTCCTTTTTTAGGGTTTGACGCCCTCTTCTTTGAGGGCTTGAGGGTTTCGCACCCACCCGCACCCTTTTAAGGTTTAGGGTTTCGCGCCCAATCTCTCCTTTTAGGGTTGAGGCCACTCCTTTCAGGGTTTCTCTGGTTTCGCGCACACCCACTCCTTTTAGGGTTTGCGCGCCTCGCCCACTCCTTGTGGGGTTTCAGGGTTTCGCAGCCACCGACTCCTTTTAGGGTTCAGGGTTTCCCAGGTTCGGGGCTTCGCAGCCACCCACTCTTTTAGGTTTGAGGGCTTCGCAGCCAACCACTCATTTTAGGGTTTCAGGGTTTCGCACCCACCTCTTCCTTTTAGGGTTCAGGATTTCGCAGCCAGCCATTTCGCTCCCACCCAAACCCTTTTTGGGTTTAGGGTCTCGCACCCAATCACCCCTCAGGGTAATCAGCCGCCATGATCAGCAATCAAGCACAAATTCAACAAGGCCCCGCCCAGCTCCGCAGAGCAGGTGTGCGGGCAAAAGAACAAGCCAAAATGCAAGCAGCGCGCACGCAGAATCCTCGAGGCGGTTGTCATTTGAGATGCGAGTTGCTCGTCCGCGAAACTGGGGCGTCGATTACCGTCCTCCGACCATGTGCCAGATGGTACGCGCCTGCCAGCAAAACGAGGCCCCGCCCAGCTCCGCAGACCCGGTGCGCGGGCAAACGGATCATTGTGCGCGTTTCTATAGAGTTGTATATAGGGAGGGGCCGTGGTATGTTAGGTACTTGTCTGGAAAAGGCCAGGGATTGTAAGGGTATGAGATGATAGGTGCGCGGCATTGCTACCCAATCAGGGCTCTATAGTACTTCGTAGCCCGTTTGGGGGTACTGCCCCCATAAACCCTAAGCCCGAAAATCCCCCTAACTCTGCCCCAAACAAATCCCTGTGATGCTTTGAGGCTAAGGAGCAGCTCCGCGACTCTGAGGCCTGGGACTAGAAAACAGCAGCTTGATTTTGGGGCGGTGGAACTTCGGAAAAGAGGTTGAAACTAATGGGTCTCAGGGGGCCCTTGGAGGGTTTGGGGGGTCAGGGTTTGGGAGTTTGCGGAAGTTTAGGGTGCTTTTGTGGTTCAGTTCCCTTTGTAGGCCGTATTTCGACCCGAACTTGGTGTTTGGTCAAGGTGCTCCGGATTGTTGAGCCTGGGAAGTTTAGGGTTTGGGGATGCCCTCAACCGGAGGCCGCGTACTTCTACCACGCCTCGTATCTGGACGGCCTGCTGCAGGGGCAGATCAGCGAAGCCGAAGCCAAAGCGGCCCGAAACGAGCTGCGCCCTCAGGCGCAGGCAGAGTCCTCAATTTCAGATTTCGGGTTCTCCAGACTGTCTGTTCTCCACTTATTTACCACTCTTACACATGGCCTTCGGAAAGGTTTAAGCCTTGGGGGCTTGCGCCGTCGGAGCTGCTGAGGAATTGCCCTTTCGATCGCAAGAACCTGGTGACCTTCACGGTTCGCGGATACCTCCAGGCGCTGCAGAGAGGAACAAAGAGCGATTCGGCCGCAAGAGATGTCAAGGGGCTACACGACCCGAAGCCCGACTCCTCCACAACTGGCTGCTGAGCACTCTTGCACCCGAACTGAACTGAACAGCCACAAGCGGGCGGCTGCAAGGAGTCCACTTTATTCTCAACCGCGTCCTGCAGCTTGCTTGGGAGTGCTGCGAGGCGTTGGGAAACGACAGCGACACAAGAGATAAAGACACACCAGTTCGACTCTTCCTGTGTAGATCAGCCTGCATGCACAGTGTTTTACGGTCATTGACTCCGTAAGCCTGTCAGCTGCTAAGGCAGTTAGTCGGTCGTTATGTCAAATGCATCCGTCGCGTTGATGGTTAAGTGCACTGCAACGCCCCGCACATAAAGACCTTATATGCAGTAAGTACACAGAAAGCACGCTTGCATCGCAACACGCACCTGCATGCGCCTGTATACATGCATGTATGTATGCATGCATGGATGGATGGATGGATGATGTATGTACGTACGTACGTATGTATGTGGTATGTATCTAAGTATGTAGCCGTGTAAGAATGTAGATATGTAGGTAGATGTGTGTATTTGTGTGGCTTTTACACATGCAGGTAGCTTCCCCGTAGGTGGAGCAGAGTGCAGGACGCCCAGAATACAACTAAAGGTTGCTGATTGCTGTAAGCGGCCCTGTGGTTTCGAACTCCCCCGGCAACACGCGAAGACAGGTGGACTTCTACAAGGCCGACGTGAACTCAGAGCTCGCAAGCGAGGCAGGGAGTAATGCCTTCAAGCCCAGGACACGAGACCCCGGACCCCATGCATTGACAATCCTTGTATTCTGCGAAGGGGAGACGGCTGATGCCATGGATGTGGTACACCGTCTTGTCCCAGCTCATCAGCCGTGCTCTTCATCCAGACATGCGGTGCTTCACCTGCATGGAAAGGTCCAGGGGTGTTGGGGTTTCGGAGTTCGGGCTAGGGCATCGGATTGCGGGGTGGTTTGCAGGCCCGCTCAGGGTCTGTAGCGAGTGTCGCGGAGCTATGAGACCCCGTTAGAAGAGCCGATGCTTGAGAGAGCGATGTAAGGTCTTGAGTTTTAAATCGTAGTAAGAAAGGGATGGTTGCAAGTCATGCTACTGTAGTTACACGCCCAAGAGCAGTAGCGCAGCGTCGGTATTGTCATAATGACTACTGCTGGTACGTCTTCCTACCACGAGCTGTCCTGTAAACACGACCCAAAAAGCCTGGAAACCACAGCTTTCCACAAAAGGCTACAACTCCCAACAGTGTCTCAAGACAGGCAGCGATGCTACAATCGCGACAAGCACCCTCCAACACCGCTTGGAACTCCCGAAAGAACCCTCATGGAGCCCTTTTCTCAATACCTTGTGGAACCCTTACGGTATTCCTAGGGAACCCGTCCGTGTAGCACCCCTTACAGCAACCCACACTTCTGGTAACCCTGGTAGAGGCCCTCATGAAAACCGTCTGGTCTTGTCTCAGGCAGGTCTTCCGAGTCCCTTGGCTGTTTCGGAGCGCGAGGGTTTAGGGGGTGTAGGGCGGGGCATTCGGGTTCATCTTCGTTTCTTTGACAATTTGGTGTACAGGTGCGCAGCTCCAAGATCATGTGGTGGACACCGTGGTTTCGTTCTGTTCTGGGAACGCTTCTTGCAATCGGTGTCGTTACTGCTGTCCGCGGGGCCATCAAGCAGAAGCTGATACATGTGTGGCTTGTGGCAGAGTCGATCAGATTGGCGAGTTCCTTTGAACAGATCCGGGCACATCTTGACACCTTGATGTTGGTTGGACACAACCACCTGTTGTTATCAAACGCTTGGATTTGGATTAGTGTGCGTTTCCGGCGGCCTCGCCCTACTCTCGGTCAGCAATTATCAATTAGATTGTGTAGACTACAGTGACCAAAGTGAGTTGAGTAGAGCTTTGCTGAGGCATATTGAAAGGACGAATGGCCCGAAATGCTCGTCGTGGCTCAGGCGCTCTAAACGCCGTAAAATTAGAACATCATCTTCAGCCTTTGAAGCAGGGCTTAAGGTAACAAACTTCCAACACCTTCCACGGCAAAGGCCGCCCTGGACCCTGAATATCTCTGAAGCCCGAAACTCCAAACCCCGAAGCCCTGAAACCCTCAACTCCAAGCAAACCCAAAAGGACCTCTAGGACCCTTTTGAAGGGGCCCTTTAGACTCGAAGCCCAGAGAAGCTATGCGAAGCTCAGGAGATCATCAAGTCCGTCGTGGTGTCCTTCCCGGACCCGGCGGGGTGGCATCTGATGCAGCTCCTGAAGTCTGCTCCCTGACGCCTTTTAGACCCTTTTAGAGCCTTTAGGGGGTTTCGGGCTCAGTAGCACAGCTTGGATTGTCAGAGCCCAGGCAAACCGGTGTTTGGGGTTTCGGGTTCTCTTCTTGGGTGTGCGAAACAGTGACTCGTCCAACTGAGGATGACAAAGTCCACCAGCAGCTTGGGAAGGAGCTGTCCGGTTTTCAAGAAGAGTAGCCCAAACCCTGAGCCTTAAGCTTCCACTGAGGCTCTCTGTTTGCCGCAACAGGAAGCCTGATTCTGAAACCTGAAGTCCCGACTTCTCGCTGGCTCTGCTCAGTGGGGTTTGCACGGTGACCGCCTTTATGTGCTGTAGAAGGCATCCCCCCCACACCGACACCAGCATTTGGGGAGCAGTCTGAGCCTTGACTTGCGAAGGAGCTGCTGAGCGACGTCGGAAGGCCCTGCAACTGTTGGCATTTTCGGCTCTTGTTTCAGCACCAAGCCTTTAGATCCCAAGCCTTGGCACAGGCTGCAAAAGCCAATCCGAAACCCAGCCGATCTCTCCTTTCTTCCAGGCAAGACCGAGAGCTGCACACCTTGTTCGCCCAACGGACCCGCATTGCCGAGGCAGCCGAGACTGCGATGACCCGCCTAAGCTTCTAGAAGGTTATACATGGCTCTACTCCGAGACTACACTGTGCCATACTTTAGGACAGTATACAGCCCAAGCTTTCAAAACTGACTTGGAGTTGAGCTCAAAGCCTTAGACCCCAAGCCCTGAAACCTTGCGCCATGGCAGGATCTGATTTCCCTGGCGAACTCAAACGGCCAGGACGTCTCGGACCCAAACTTCTTTGCTTTCAGGGTCTTTGTTGCTTTGCTCGGTGAGGACATTCCGGCATAGTGAAAGCTTCTGGAACTGCTCAGGAAAGTGTGCCCCGAATGCTAAAGCCACGGATCCCGAAGCCATCAAGGTGTGTGCGCGTGTGTATACCTGAATGCCCATTCAGGATCCCTTGACAATCTAAGGGGTAGATTGATGAATTAAAGTGGTTTGGGAGTCTCTGGCTATGCAGTCACAAGGGAAACCTTACCTTGCAGGTGGTGTATGATACAAAGCTGTATGCGTTTGTTTTCATGTTGAGTTATAGGAAGAGAGTACTTCGTATTTGTAGGCACTTGACGACAAGTAACCCCCGACCCTCCGAAAAGACAGGTTCTGATTCCTCGTGAGGTGCGGGTAAAAGGAGCCACTGGTACCTGCAACACTGAAACCCCTAAAGACTTTAAAAGGCAGAAACAAAACCCAAAGTTCTGAGGTCCTGCGACTTTCAAAAACATTTCCGCGGCTGGCCGCAGTGCAGTCCTCCAGGTGCAAGAAGCCAGGGCTACTATAGCTGTACGGGTCGGGATAAATAGTATCATTATTCCTGGCAGTTCCTTCTTATGATCATATATGGCACCCCACGAACTCTATCCGGGGCATTCTACGGTTTGGGTTAATTAGGCTCGGCATTATGGGATGTCGATGGCTGGAATCCTTGAGCGGGGGCAGCCCCGGCAGCCACGATAACAAGAATATAATTCCACCAGTAGTAGCTGGTCCACAGCCATCATCATAGGTTCATAACCATAACAATAATAATAATGGTAACAAAGAAATCATCGGAGGTGTAACACCAATAGTGAGAATAGAGAGCCGAACAGCATCCGGGGGGCAATGGTTGAAGCTCTGTGTGAATCGTAGCAAACATCAGAATCCAGAGTGGGTCTCGAGCCGAGGCTTCCATGAAGCCGATATTATAGGGGCCCTAATCATTACCTGCAAAAAATTTTCGGGGCTCCCTATTGTATTTATAGTTCCCTAATATATTTATAGTATAATAACTATTAAGGCCCCTACATCACCTCTGAACCCGAAACCCAGAGTTTGTTGCGTCGGAAGGAGTGAGAAGTGGAGGGTGCTCGTCCCACTCCAGTCGCAGATGACCGCGACAATCCCCAGGTGCGACTTCGGGATTGCGTTTCGCAGGACTTGCGATTTGAGAATCAGCCTTTTGTTCGTTCAGGGTTTGGGAGTCCGAAGAGGCCCAAAACCTAAAGCCCCAAGCCCTTTAGTGATTGGTTTAGAGACCCCAGGCATGAAACACGCTTCACTCCAGATAGCTAAACACCCCCCCCCCCCCCACCAAAAAAGAATTCCGAAGCCCTCAAGCTAAACCCTGTGAGGATGAACTCCGCAGAGCAGCTCCGAATGGCGAAGCCGCGGGGCTTCTTCCCCGAGGCCATCCTCACTGAGAGGCCACCGTGGGGGCCTTTTTTGTTGTTGGGGGGAGGGTGTTGGAGATTTGGGGGTTTGGGGCCCATAGGTTTTTGTTGGCATGTTTTGGTTTTGGGCTGCGTGGTTTGGGACTTGAGGCTATGGGGTGGTGAAGTTGGGCTCTAACTGGAGGCTCTGTCCCGGTGTTTTCCGAACCGTATTCGCTGCACGCTTATCCACAACGTTCACGCACCTCAGCCTACAGAGTTGAATTCTGCGACCCACGGCCCCTGGCACCAGATTGTGAGTGCTGTGTGTTTAGTGCCTATTAGCGCGAAGGTTTGTGTGAATGGCTGCTTCGCACTGAGCTGAGTTGTCAGGTGCCTCGAGCACGTGGAAGTCTTCCGTTCCAAGGAGCTGAGTCTTGGGCAGCTTGTGAAGGGAGTTCTCGAGCCCGAAACTAGCCCCAAACCTGCAAGCCTGAACCCTTAGGCCGTCATAGCGCACTATAGAATCTATAGAATATTCGATGAAAGCCAGCAAACCTCCGAAACCCGCAAAGCACCGAGCGACTCTGGAAGGGTTCTCAGGCCCTGGGTACTTCCACATCACTCGGAGGTTCGACCTGTGAGACTTCGACTCCTGGTTCCGGCACAGCCGAAACGCAAAGACTTCCGCCCTGTCTTGCGGGAGTTCCAACTCTGAAACTCAGCCTGCACCCCCGTTCTAGCCACCAAACGTAACGGGTACTTCACGATACGTGTTCATTGCGGTATGTCTAGCCCTGAGCTACGTACAGTAGCAGTCAGCATTCAGGATCGTTTAACTAATCCCCTCAAGCTACAAAAAAATCCCGCGGTTGCAGGAGAAGCCTAAGAAGTTGACCTTCCTTGGCAGCGACGGCCAGCGGCTGGACTCCATAGTCAAAAGTACTCCACGTCCATGGGCTGTGGGCGGCGAGCCCTCTTCGCACAACTGTTTGCAAGCCCACGTGGTATGTACTTCCCTCGATTCCCTGGGTTATTGCAAGGTCAGGAGGGGCTCCGCAAGTATGGTTGCAGCAAGTTAACTTCACAAACTTAAAGGCTTGCAGCCCCATGCAACGAAAACCCTAAGTATAAGTACCTAGTGAACCTACCATTGACCTGGGCTTCAACAGCTCCCCGACCTAAGGAAACTCGAATCGCAACTAGTATCCTGCAACAGTTGGGGGCATTTTAAATATGCTGGGCTTTCCCGTTCGTTGCGTAGCCATTCGTCTTCAGCTTGTCCCAGAACTCTCCAACTCCCAGACCAAATCAGGAATGAATATTGAAGACTCCTTAACTTTGTCAGCAGGGGTCCTTATATAGGAATGGCAGCTCTGACAGTTGAATCGGTGAGGAACCCGAGGTTGAGCCAAGCGGATGAATACTAATGAAAGCAAGCACTCCTGCCTTTGGGGTTAGATTTTAGGGGCTTACGGTTTCGGGGTCAGGGGCTAGGGGGTGTAAGGGTGCAGGGGTTTGGGTTTACGAAGCTCATTAACTCTCGTAAGGAAAGAGGAAATCAAGAGAAAGGGGAGCAGCTAAATCCCCTTGTCCTGTAGACTATGGGCTCATAGATGCAGGGCCTGTGCTCTCAACAACCGGGCCCGTGCGTATTGCAAGCCGAGGCAGTATCCCTTCCTCTGCAAGGCAGAGAAGCGCGGCGACCTGCGGAAGGCCAGCGAGCGAGTCATGTCCAACCAATCGCATTTAAAGAGCCGAGAGGCTACAGCAACCACACGCAAAAACCTGCACATGCCGTGCGAACTAAAGTCTGAGGTTTAGGTTTGGGTTTGCGTTTTCTTCGCTTCGGCATTTGGGGTCTAGCCTTGCCTTAGGTTTGTAGGGTGGGGGATCCAGGCTCCTCGCTTCAGGTAATTACATTCGTTTCCCTAGCCTTAAACCCTAGACCTAATGGTCATAAGCTACTGTAGAGCCCGTTATTTTAACCTTCATCATGGAACCCCTTACAGGAACCCTGAAGCCCTAAAACTCCAACCCCTAAACAGCTCGAGGACTCTCGCTTGATGGAGTTTGCAGTGATGGTGAACCAGCTCCTGGCCAAGAGCCCGGTGGCGTGGCCCAACGGGGATAAACCCTCAACCCTGCAAAGTTGCAAGAAAGGTTTTTTGTTGAGGGTGGAGACTGTGTCTGTGTGTTTTCACTCGGGGCTTTGAGAGGAAATGTCCAGGGGCCTATCGGTGTGACATAGTGGCAAACAATCAAACTTCAAAAAGCAGCTGCGTGGCTTTGCAGGGTTTGCAGGAGTGCAGCGGCAACCTTACCTCCAAAGCCCCCCCCAAAAGCCCAATGCCCTAAACACCCAACTCCCGCAAAAACCGGAACTGTGACAAAGCGCCGGCTTCGCGGGAAAGAGTTCAGAAGATCGGTACTCGTTACTCCTGGGTTCTGGAGAAACATACTTGAATACTTTTTTGGGGGGACCTGTTTTTTAAGGGAACCATTATGAAATTAAAGTCTATGCTTTTTTCTCCATGGTTACTTCAGAGTCTAGGTACTTTGTTCACTTTAAAGTTGGGAACTGGTCCCTGGGGTTCCCGAGGATGCAAATCGGCGGAACCTGGAAGTCCGGACGTTTCAGGCCGTTGCGGGCTTTTGCACTTTTTTGGGCCTTCGGTTTGGGCGGTTTGGGGTCGTGGGAAGTCGTCGTTGGAATTTTCGGGGTTTTGATGGGGTTCAGTGGTTCTGGGTGTTAGGGCTTTAAGCTTCTAGGCGTGTATCAGTGTTCCGGGCTGCGGGCTTTGCATGTCAAGGTTTCGGAGCGCGAGACTTTGGGTGTTTTTTGGGGAGGGGGCCTCTGAGCTCATGAGGGCCTGGCCGCTGAACGTCGGAGCCTCTTCCCCATGCTCTTAAGTCTCAGTCGGTGGACCTCGAGCCCTGATCCCAGAGCTCTCCACCCATTCAGCCTCGCTAAATAGAGCTAAGGAAAAGCGAAACCTATAGGAATCTCTCAAAGCTCCAACCGCCAAGGCCCATGGTTTGGGTCCCTGGGTCCCTGACAGCCTCAGACTCTAAAGCTGTGAAGGTGGTCATTCTCTCGGAGAAGTGTGGCCTCATCGAGTGGGTACCCAACACCAAAGGCCTACGCCCCGAGCTTAGCCTCGAATTCGACGAGCCTACTTTCAGCAGTCTCACTTTTCCTTTTGTTGTGGGGGGGTGCCTTTCAAGTGTGCCTGGTTTATACATGTTTCGCGGATTTATGGCCGCGTTGCAGAGCTTCATTGAGCCATAGAGTTGCCATGGAGATTGATTCTTCATGACGGTTCGAAGGTCCCCATGCAAGTTGAACGGGATGCAGAATTCCGGACAAGTATCCACTCACTACCACAAAAAACCAACCATTCCAAATCCAAGCCCCACATACCCGAAGCCGCCAGTGAGCACCTGCAGAGGGTACAATGCTGCCAGGAATTAGTCAGTGTAGAGATGTGACTCGATGTTTGTAGTTCGCTTGCATCCTTTCGCAGGCCACCTGGACATGCTCGCAATCATTTTCGTCACAGCACTGTTACTTGCGCTCTTTTTTTCCCTCTGCTAGCTGCCCAGATGTAGAAGCCAGGCTTCAACTCCGAAATCTCAGGTCCCCTCATCGACGACCTTTGGAAGGGGAGGAGGCAGACCCTGAACGAGGTGAAGGAAATCATGGATCGGAGCAAGGACGCTTCGGGCTGTTATTGCTGATCAGCTGTTGGTGATTATCAGCGGTCATGTAGTTCCACTTGTGCTTGGTGGGAGCATGGGCGTGGTGCCGTCTTCTCAGCCATTTGCCTGGTCTGCCGCATTCTGCCACTGTTAATTGAGCAGAGTGCCTACCACTGTACACTCTAAGGCAACATGAATTGAAGCAACACGACACAACGATAGTATACTCCACAAATAACGAGAGTCTGCCATGAAAGAGTCTGGGGTGCATCGACACGATTTAGTTTTTTCTGCTGGCATCGTAAATAGTGCAAGGGGATGATGCTCCAAGTTTCTGCACAAAATAGATAGGTACATGCCTAAGTTTCTGCAAAAATCGGCGCTTCTTCATGTACTGATCTGATCTAAGGGAGGGATTGTGATTTGTTCACTCGTCTCGCAGGACCCTTACGAGACCTTCACACGTCAGGTGGTGCCCCGAAATCCTCCGATTCTGCACAGGCGCCCTTGGTTTAGTGCAACCCTTAGCTGCCTTAGCTCCTAAACTCCCACGACCCTTATTACCCGCTTTCGGGTTTCCGGCCTGCTCTGTAAAGCTGCCTCTTGCAATTAGGCTTCTGTCCTGGGCAGCAGATCGAAAATCATTGGATTCAGCTTTCGGGTGACGGAGCGAGACCCTGACAAAGAAGAACAAAGACCAAATCCTCTTGACCGACATTCCAAAAAACCTTTAGAATTCCAGAAGAAGTCGAGCCTCAAGAATTCGCTCGGCGACCTGCCTGCTGTTCTTGCAAATGGTGACCCTTTCGGTCTATCACATGACACTTACATACAACCTTGAACATCCTAACGCTCCTAGAGCCCCAAAAACACTACACACTGCGCCCTATGTGCGCTCAGGTGGTTCGCTCGATCGGGAGACCCTTCGGCATGGCTGGCCAAGAGGACCCTCTTCAGCCAGTCTCAGGCAGGGCACGAGTCACGAGGGCTCAGCTGTCCCGGGGTCACTGGACTCGGGCTTACTTTAGGGTTTTGAGCCGAAAGAGCGATCTTGCGAGGCCCTCTGGTGCATGCTGGGATACCTCGTGGGCCTTGGGGATCGCCATGGCGAGAATATCCTGCTGGATACCGAGTCGGGGAGGCCGGCTGTCGTCACAGCGACTGCGTGACCTTCTAATGAAAGCAGCAAGGGACGCGGCAAGCGAGGTTCCGCCCCGAGGTTGCTAACGAGCACTGTTGAAAGCATGCTGCGTGGTTCGCATCCCAACCCATGTTGAGCTTGCTGTTGTTATCATGCTCTTATTGCTGCTGCTGGTTTAGTGTGGCGATATTGAGGGAGGAAGAAGATAAGAGTCTAGGAGGACGAGAGGATGAGGATGGTGGTGATGACAGCCGCATCGCCCGAAAGGATGGTCCACGTTGACTTCGACTGCCTGTTCGGCAAAGGCGGGAATTCTGTTTCAGGTCTCCCAGCTCTTGTAAAGGGTCCCATACCGGTTATTATGAGGGTTGCTATCGGGGTGCAACCGTCCGGCGTGGTTGAGACATTCCCGCACATGCAATGAGTTTCGAACATGCTAAAGCCAACACCCAGTTCGTACATCCCACATTGAGACCAACATGGAGTCCTGCATCCGAAACCACTCTCAGTGCTGACTGTAAAACGACCTTGCGCTTTCAATTCTAGTCTACACCTTCGTCCCTCTTTCCTAGGGCCACTCTAGGGTGTTGTCATGACTCGCGCTACCTGAAGGCAGAGCCCACGCACCCAGGCACCCTCATTTACGGAATGCACCTCAGGGCTTGTGAGTTGGATTCAATTTCGCTCCTCAGCTGAAGGGTATTTGGTTGTCCGGACAGGCATGCTCCTAGAGAAGCCGGAAATGGTCCCCTTCCGGCTGACGCAAAACTGCGTTGCCGTCGGCGTCCTAGGAGTGACCCAGAGCGAGAGTACGTAGCTGTGAGGATTTCAGGGTTCAGAGCTCACGTCAAGCGCGATACCCAAATTTCTGATGGTGATGTTGGGGATGGTGATGAATATTGACCAAAGTAGGCACAGGCGCTGTTTTCAGAAAACACGCATGAGCAACTGCTGAGTGCGAGACTGCGAGACTACCATTGGTACTGAGACACTGGTACTTGTAGCAATCCCGTTTAAGTTAGTTGCACCCGGAATGAGCAACCATCGTTCTTCTCATCGCGACCATCATCCGCAACATCCTCATCATCACCATCATCGTCATCATCATCATCATCATCATCATCATCATCAGTGAAGGCAGCATCACCACGGCTGACATCAAGTATATCTCTAAGGATTCTACGCTAGAGTGTACATTTTGTCTGTCTATACGGGTCGCGCATGTTTTGAGATTTTGGTACTTTTGTGTGTCATGATCACCCGTGTAGCACGGACAGAACGGCGGCTCCCCCCCCCCCACTCCCCAGAGCTTTGCCAAGGCGATGGGTGTCACCGGGGTCGAAGGCACCTTCCGACAATGCTGCGAAGTGACCATGGAGGTGCCAGGATCAGTCCCGGAGCGCCGAGTCTCTAAGGAGGGACCTAGGATTCGAGGGATCATACCAGCATCGGGCCATTTCCCAGTGTTGTTGTCGTAAGTAATGTTGGCATGATACACGACGTTGAGCTCTGTACAGTGCTTCCACGTCAACTTTATGCCTCAGGCGATAGTTTCCGAGACGGGGTACAGCAGGGGCACTTGACCCTGTCCTGCAGGCTAGGCCGTTCCCTGCCTTGCTGCCATAGTATGCTGTTGGATTAAACGTCTTGGTATCTGTTCAGGTGCTGCGTGACCGGGCGAACACCCAGACCTTGTTGTCCGTTCTTCACGCCTCGGCCCTGGATTTGCCGCATAACTTGGTATACGGGTTGGATCAGACCTGGAATCGGGAATGCTCGAACAATTTCGCCGTTCAATGTGAGCGGGTGCAGATTTGCAGAACACAGAAGCGCATACACAACCGGAAATCTTAGACATGGGGTTCAGGCTCCTGCAATTAGTAGCCGTTAGTAGTACTTAACAGTATTTTACAGCAGTTAGTAGTTGGTTTACCCGTTGGTCAATGGCTCATGGCGCTTGTGAAGCATGTTGGTCCATGGCCCTTGGCTCATGGTGGTCAGCTGGTCACGTTCGAAAATCGTGAACGTTGAAACGTCACTTCCCCGAGCTGCTTTACCTCAGCTTTGTCCATGTATTGAATGTTGACCGCTTGGTTTGTGAGCTGACAAGCAAAGCACATTTTCAGCTGGAAGTGAAAGCCGTATTTGCAAGAAAGTTTGGCAAGCGTGCAGTTTCGAAGGTAGCAAATGGAAGAGGGGCTAGCGGCTAGCAGTTGGGAAGCAACAGAATACTGCAAAACCAAGTACGTTTACAATGGTATCAATTGAGTCTAACAAAGCTTTTTACACCTATCGCGATTGTCAAAGCCAGAGCTGCAGCACATTACGCTTTACATGCCGTCTTTGATCAGCACCAATTTAGCCGACAGATGTTCCCGCAGCTCGAGACCAAAGTTTATCGCCATTGTTCTTGTCTTCGGAATTTGTGTGCGTGCGGATTGCAGAGCAGGGTCTTCTCAAGCCCTTGCATTGTTTTGCTCAGCCAGTACTCACCTGAAAGCATGGTTTGGAACGCTTCAAGGACAGTAGTTTTGTGCAATCGTCGTCCAGCCCTGGCGTTCTTCAACGAGTCTGTTTTCACTTTCTATCTTTCATCTGGGGCTGCTCACTTGAGAAATCGGGTCCGGGCTTGAAATGGTAGAGTCTAGTAGAGGAGGTGAAAAGTCTGTGCTGCGTGCGGTGCTGCGATGATTGTGTCCTCTGCCTGAACGTATATACGGCTTGTGTAACTGGTGACCCAGAGCTGCACATGACAGGCTAATCTTCATTCCAGATCTCCATGCTCAGTTGTCTAAATTGAAATGCAGAGCTTGGCAAAGAGCTATCTACATGTTTGGAATGCCTTGCAGCTTATATAGTCCAAGTCTACTCAAATCGAAACGAATTGAGTTTAGTCTAAGTTCATATCCCAACCGAACACGATCCACTACAATCTGATACAACCTCAGACTGACCAGACGTTCATTACACTGGTTGTGCTATCCCCTGTGCCTGCCTTCCCGCGAGTGTACACCGACTGTGGAAATCCGTGGGCTGGCTGAGACGTGCAAGCTCTTAAACGACCAAAATCTCTGAAATCCCAAATGCAGCGTTTGTGTGAGTTCCTGCTCCCCAAGGCTCCGCCTAACAACACTAATTTTGACAATATTTAAAATACCAATAATACTAAAAATATCAAAAATTAAAAATAATACAGTCTTAGTAAGAAGAATAATGAGAGTAGTAATCACAAAACATAAATAATACGAAGAGGTCTTCGTGGCGGACCCTCTGCTGGAGATGTACCGCAAGCCGGCCTCAGTAGAACATCGAGCCGGGAAACTCGGAAAAATCGGCTGGTTAGATAAGGCAAAAACCCATAGGCCCCTTAGCAGCTTAGGATTTAGGGTTTAGGGTTTAGGGATTACCTAATAGGATCCTAAATAGAAGCCACAAAAAGGAATTAATATGGGGCCTATAGGCATAGGCGCTCCTTTAAAGGGTTCCTTTTGAGGGGCTCTATGCGGGTTCTATGCTAGAGGAGCCTAAATACTTGCCACTACTGTTCCTTGTATCATCGAGGAGTCCAAAACCCTCTTCCAATGATACAGGCCCCTACATTTTTGTGCAGGGCTGCGGCTTAATCGACGTTCCTTCTTTGTTTCTGTTATGATTAGGGTGACTAGGTTTGGGGTCTGAAGCTTCCATTGTTGGTACTGTGCGCTGCTTCATTCAAAATTCATGAGTAAAGGTAGATTCAATTTGTGTGTGCGTATATCTATATATGTTTATTTATACGCACACGGTAGATGTAAGTATACAGTGAGAGAGCCTGTGTTTATGCATGTATGTTTATGTGTATGTGTATGTACACATGCATGTACATAATATATAATTTATGTGTATATATATACATACATGTATCTGTATGTAGATGTGCATATGTGTATGTATTCATGAAGACGTTGTGTCTAGGTTCGCAAATTGCTACATATTCAGTTGCGCGTTCAGAAGTCGAGAGACCAGGTCCAGACCGCACGTGACACCATCGGTGACGTGGAGAAGAAACTGCCGGATGCCCAATACGGGCTACCAGGGGGTTTTCAAACGGAGTTGCACTTGGGTTACCGTGAGGGTGACCTCTCCCAGAGCAGTCGAAAATAGTATCGAGGGCTTCCTGTCCTTCTAAAAGGGATACCCTTCTTCAAGGGGGTTTGTTACGAGCCGCTGTTGCCTTGAACAGCCCAGAAATGATGACTTGAAGAGTCAGTAATAGCTTGTTTCCGGGTCTGGTAGCAGAAGCTCAGCATTAGCGAGTCTCCAAGCATGTTTGTAGCATAAGGGCGCCAACGAGCGAACCCTGGTCTGGTTGCATGTGCCTCCGTTCCTCCCTTCTCGTGAGTCGTAGTCCTTCACAGCGTGATGCCGAGGTTCTGGGTTGCTTGCACACAGGACGGACAAACTCTGAAGCCGAAAGCTCCCGGCCCTTCGACCCTGCAGTTCCAAAGCCTCAAATCCCGCAAACAGCTCCATCCCACCCCCGGGCGCCCGCTTGGCTAGGTTCCAGCCCTAGCCCTAAAGACTCAGAACCTCTAGAACCGAAGATCCCAGTCGCTCGAAACCCAGGAACGGCATGCTGAACGTCGGCGCCCTCGTCCCTGTGCACAGCCGGGCCGGGCGCTTTCTTCTTAAAGGGAGGGCGCGACGGTCTAAGTTTCAGGAGGGGTCAGGACCTTGGAAAATCTTGTTTTCGAGCTTTTGGCAAACAGGGTTTTGGGGTTGAGAACAGGTTCGGGAGCTTTGGGCATTACGGTTGGGGGCAACAGCGAAGAGGCAGGTCCCGGGATGCCTTTGTGTGCCGGCGGTGGGCAAAATCGAAAGGGAATGTTTATTATGGTCTTCTGTATACTGTATACTCATTCTAGAAGCTGCTCCAAACCCTACACCCTTGTAAGCTCTTGTGTCAACCCAGAATTTATTCGTAACAGGTATCAAGGACTCCTTATTATGGAAGGGAGAATGCAGGGTTCTTTGACACGTTACTGCCTGCTTTTTGGGGGAAAGCAGAAGACCTCCAAGCCATGAGCTTCGCAGCTGGGGCTGTATTAGGGGTTCCGGGCTTGTGGTCCGTTTGGGGCCCGGAAGGCCAACAACTTCGGGTTTCGGGGTTGAGGGTTTAGGTCCTTGTTTGTGTTCAGGTGCTTGTTACGGATAGGTCCTGTGCTTTCCGCAGCACCCAACCGTAAACCCGAGCCACAAAATCTAAACGCCAAAGCCCGACAACCCGGGAAATCCTGAAAAGAAAGCACATGCATAAAACGTTCTATGGAGCTGCGAAGAGTGTGCTAGCGATGATCCGCCGATACCAGGATGGCCGGGAGTCGGTTCTATCCAAAGATGAGCGGCTGAGGAGCTTACTGGGTCGGTACCCCAGCGTTTGGGGGG